ACACACTGACCCATACACAAACACACTGCCCTAATAGACACACATCCCCCTATACAAACAAACGCCCATCATCATCCTCATCCGGTTGTAAGTCGGCAATCTAGTATATTATTCATGGCACTAATCTCTAATTTACCTCACATTAAAGGGACACTATAGTCCCCAGAACCACTGCAGCTTAATGTAGTGGGTCTGGTGTGTAGCCTGTCCCTGCAGGCCTTTTAATGTAAACACGGCGGCACTGCAGCACTGGTGTTATTTAACATGGCAGATCATATGGGTGGGGCAATGTGATGTCACATGGGGGGCGGCAAACTTTACTTTTGCCTAGGGCGGCAAAAATCCTTGCACCAGCCCTGCAGATACTGCATCCCTGTGGGCGGATTCGGGGGGGGGGGGTAGGGAGGGGAAGCACTTTGGGTGGACTCGGGTGCAGGCACTGGGGGGCCCAGACCTTGAGCTGTTTCAGGGGCCCCAAAATTTCTGATGGCAGCCCTGTGCCCCCATACACATACTGCAAAACGCGCGCGCACACACACACACACAGTGCCCCCCACACACATATACACTGCTCGTCTCACGTACACATTTCACCCCTCACACATACTGCTCCCATACACATAATGCTGCCCTCACATACTGCACCCCTCACATACACACTTCACCCCTCACACATACTGCTCCCATACACATAATGTAGCCCTCACATACTGCACCCCTTACACACACACTGCACGCTACACACACTACACCCCTCTCACACACTGCCCCCCACACAATGCACCCCTCACACACACACAAACTTAACCGCTCACACACACTGCTGCCCCTATCCTGGCTGACACCACGTAAGTTGTCAAACTGTTTTTTAAACAGTTTGACTACTTACTCTAGGAGGGCACCATGGCACCCCTGACACCATAACCACTACATAGAGCTGTAGTGGCTATAGTGCTTGGATTGTTTATTTAAATAATCTGCCAGTGCCCCTCAGAGGACTAGGTTCTGGATCAACCCAGGGGGATACCTCCAGTGACAGTAACTCAGACGGCCACTGGAGGTGCTTCTGAGTCAGTGCTACAGCACTGACATTCAATGTCTCCACGCTCTGTATGGAGACGCTGACCATTCCTCATAGAGTTGCATTGATTGTGCTTAACTTTATGTTGTCAATGCTCCTCCGGCAAAGCATTTCCTGTGTGAGAAGCTGTTAGTGAGCAGATGGCAAATGGTATCTTCTGCTTCCTGTTTCTTACACACAGACACTAAAGTAGCTGGGATTGTATACCCTCTAGAATTCTTCTTCCAGCTCTGCCATCAAGCAAAAGAGGCTGACTGGACTACAGATGACACTGGCCAATGCACCTGGTACTTTTCTCTTCCTACATAAGCTCCAAAAAGGCATATTATAAGTGCTGTAAAGAGGCATCCTCTGCAAGACATTGTCTGTAATCAGGTAACTGCTTTGCCTAGTGGTGAATCCAGCCATGGCTATGTTTAAAAAACAATGTAATTTTGCTTTTATTTAAAACATATGTGTAGCAGAGCTCCAATACCCAAACTAGGTATCTCCGGCGAATATCCTCGAAGCTGGAAGAAACACTCTAGTGAGTAGCTCTAATGCCCCCATTAACTAGACGACACATAGTTCTGGGAGTACAACTGTTTTTATTGATCCAAATGCATCCTTTTATGCATAGACATGCTGGGGGCATGGGATCTCTATTCAATACCTACAGTGCCCACCAAGGCGACTCTGTGTCTGGGAGATAATTGAGTTGCTGCCCACTAAACTAATTATCTCCAGGATACAGAGTGCCTAACAGAAAAGCACCCCAAAACATAGTAAAAACACACAAGAACACCACATATTAAACATCCCTGGATAGCTCTGGTCTGATTGGCAAACTAGCGCCCGGATCCATGAAGAATCTTCAAATAGCCTCCAGGGTAACATTTTAACTGGCCACACATTTGGACTAAGCTCAAAATAGTTCCAGTATAATAAGGGCTTGGGCCGGTCAAATAGCAGGAGTTCCTGTGGTCTAATGAAAGGGGAGCAACTGTTCCATTTAGTCTGAAGTACCTTCCTTTCAAATAGCGCTCTGCTGGCAGTTTGGCAAGTGGGGTAAAACAGTGGGTGAATGTGACCAGGAGGCTCGCGGTCCAGTGGCATGTCAAAGTTCCAGAGGGTTTGCAGCCAAGTACTGCTAGGGACCTTTCAGGAGTTAGTAGCTGAATGACTGCCAGAGAGAGGGTGCTTTCGGCAACTATGGTTCGGGAGAAGGGAAGGTACCAAACCAGTAGCAGTGAAATGCTCTCTTGGGGAAAAGGTATGGGTAACAAGGACAAGGTCTGCCATACACATATGTTTGAATATTATGGTAAAAACTTTTTTTTAAATATTGATTTTAAGGCAGGGGAAACATATGGGAAGTCTAAAATACATCATGGGTAACTCTGATGCCCTTCCTTTTGAATAGCTATGGAGGTAACTAGTGTTTTCTTACCTAAGTAGTGTTTAATAGGGTGAGGGACCAAGTAACCTTTTTAAGAAACTACAGTTATTCTGTAAGATGCTTAACCTTTGGGGCCTGCTCACTATACAGCAAGTTGTGGTGACTCAATAATAAATTTTACAATTTAGCTCAAATAACTTCCCCAAACATAGCTTAAATTTTGAAAGCTGTCAGTTCATCAAAACTCACTGTTTAGCAAATACACCTTCGACATATGATACAAATATGAATTCATCTTTCACCACAATAGCTGTGATATATTGCCATGCATTTTAATAGCAGGTATTGAATGCATTAAGCAGTGTCTACATTGTCCTCTAAAAACCATTCATGTGATCAGTCATAGAATTGCAGCTTTATTTGCCCCTCAAAATGTAGCGCCGTGCAATGAGCCATGCTGTACAATAGACATAATTAGAACAGCTGCATCTGTCTTTACAAGACAAATTGCTATGTTTAATGTGTAATATTATTATGAAAAGAATAATAGAACAATGTGAGTGGTTTCTTGTTTTGTTTCTGCTGCGAACAACTAGCAAGTCTAATCAAAGACTAAAGAATATACCTTCTTGTCTCAGTACACAGAATAGTGGCACATTACATTTTATGCTCATGATTTCAAATTTAGTAATTAGACTTCAGTTTGAATACAACGCAGTTTGAGACTTCATTGTGTAACTTGCATGTATTGAATAACCACTTTATTAAAACTAAATCTTATGTAGGGATGTGTAAGGCGCTATTCCTCTAGAACAGCCTACATGGTTCATGATGGTTTTATAGAAGATAAATTCTATAACAAACACAAATTTGTAGGCACAAAGATATAAATAGGTTTACATTTTCAAAATTCAAGGTACAGTGGAAATTTTCTCAAAGTCAGTTGAAGGGAAACTATAGTGCCAGGAAAACAAAGATGTTTTCCTTGCAATATAGCTCCC